AAACATTAAAAAAAAAAAAGAGTCGAATGCTTAAACCAGCTGAGCCACCCAGGTGCCTGCTGGCTGTGTTTGCTATTAATGCTGTGCCAGAAGTTAGGCAGTAAGGAGAGGCTTATACCAATTTCATCATTTGGAGATGTATAGTTCTCACATATTAATATTTCTGCAATCGTGTTTTATAGTCATAACTAGTTTAAATGGTAACCTTATTTCTTAGTTGAACATAAAATAATGGTGCTTCTGGGGCACCTGGGTGACTTAGTCGGTTGAGTGTCAGACTTTGGCTCAGGTTATGATCTTGTTCGTGAGTTAGACCCCTGCATAGGGCTCGCTGCTGTCAGCTCAGAGCTTGCTTCACATCCTCTGTCCCCCGCTCTCTCTGCCCCTCCCCCACTATGCTCTTTCTCTCAAAAATAAACAACAAATGAAAAAAAAATGGTGCTTCTTATAATTGATGGAGCCAATTAGATTCAATAAAACATGATTTTTAGTTTGTCAAACATGGTTCTTATCCACAAGATGCTTACTATTTATGATCTTGCAAGGTACTGGATTTCCCCCTATGCTTGTAATCATGTAATATCTTTCATCAGTTTGTCTTTTTCTTCTTGGCCTTAAATATGTGTTTACTGAAGTATGGTTGTCTATTTTCCCACTGTACTGTCTTGTCTCTCTCATTCTTCAAATGAGAGACTTTCATATCTCTACCTTCAAACCCAATTGTTTGTCTAGGCTCTGATTCATAACTGGTACCTGAAGATTACTACTTTGTCTGGTTGTCACCTCAAACTCACAATGCAACACCTTTTCCTCCAAGTCAGCTTCTCCCTAGACTTCCCCAGATCTTTCAGATTTTCTAGTAATTCAGACTTGAAACCTTGGGGAGCCATCCTTGATTTTACCCTCTCCTTTGTTTCGCTTCTTCTACATGTCTACTGTGTTATGAGGATCTGTACATTCTTCCTCTTGCGTTGATCTCTTTTCCAAGTCCACTGTTACCATCTCAGTCCAGGCCCTTGTCTAATCGTGCATAGGCTAGTATAATGATTTCTACCTCTTCCTCTGATTCATCTTATCCATTATCACTTTAAATTTTCACTAACACTGTAGTGTACACTTGACTCCCTGCTAAAAGTCATTGAATGGCCCCTTACTGATCATTGAATAAATTCCAAACACCACAGCCTGGTATTCAAGGCTCTCCACAGTTATCCCTTTCCAGCTTCATCACCCACCACCTAAACTAGAGGAAATGTTCTGCACTTTTCAGCTGCTACAACTTTGGCTTGAACCATTTCCTTTGCCTGGAGTCCTACTCCTATCCTCCAGGCTTTCCTTCAAAGCTCAGCTGACTGTCCAGGGAAAGCATTTCCTGACAGTTTGTAATTTACAGTGAATCCTCTTCTCTGAACTCCTATAGTACTTAATGCATATATTAATAATCTGACATTTTTTAATTTATTTTGAGACAGAGAGAGACAGAGCATGAACGGGGGAGGGGCAGAGAGAGAGGGAGACACAGAATCGGAAGCAGGCTCCAGGCTCTGAGCCATCAGCCCAGAGCCCGAAGCGGGGCTCGAACCCACGTACCACGAGATCGTGACCTGAGCGGAAGTCGGACGCTTAACCGACAGAGCCACCCAGACGCCCCAATAATCTGACATTTAGCGTGTGCTCCCTTCTATTGCTTTCTATCCTTTTATGCATAAAAATGTCTTGCCAATGAGAAGTCTCTGAGGGCAGGGACTTGGCCACATTTCTCCATGTTTCTAGTATTGACAGTCTTTTAAATATTGAATAAAGTTTTAGAGTTGGAAGTTTACCTAGACCCTCTGACTCATTTCACAGGTGAAGAAAGTAGATCCAGAGAGCTGTGCAGACCCACTGAATAGAAAGCCGTAGTTAAATATTTGCTGTTACTTATGGCTTATATAGAATGGCAGGATTCAGCAGTGAGGAATGAGTGCATTCTCTGAACAGAGGAGGGAATGTAGTTATTTTGGGCAAGTTTGGGGATAAGTGATCCAAGCTACCTGATGGGGAAGGTGTAGTGACTACCTGAGGGCAGCGCTGTTTCTTTGTATAGCCCACAGGCTCTCGAAAATGGGTAGACGTTTAATGTTTCTTACACGGAGTAACCTACCAGCTTAATACATTCTTCATCAGGGGCATGTAGCTTGAAAGTGAAGCAGGTTGGCTTTCTGACTCCTTGAGGGCACAGGCACAGAGAAAGACCCACTGCCCGGTGGTGAGACTAGCCAAGGGCTCTTCACTCTGTGGAGGGAGCCAGGACGCGCCCCTGACAGGAATCTGTGGACTAAGCAGCCGCTCGGGCCTTGGCCACCAGCCCGGGAAAGAAGAGCAAGGGGCTTTCCACCTGCCCTAAGCCTAACCCGGGGCCGGGAGGCCTCTCAGGTTCCGCCATCCGGTGCCCCGCCTCCTAAGCCGGCCACCTCCTCTCCGCGCCTTTTCCCCGCCCCTCCCCTCACGCTCGACGGGCTCGCCCCCGCGCCCGGCGCGCACGTTCGCGGAGGCGGAAGACCGGAGAGGCGCTCTGCCGCGGGTGCGAGCGCGCAGGCGCCTCCTTGGGATATCTGCGGGCGCGAATCCTAAGGTTCTACGAGCTGCGGGGTAAGAGGCCGGGACCCTAGGGTGTCTGGGCTGGTGGGTAAATGTGGGGAGGGGCGGGGGACTCGCGAAGCGCTGCGATCCGGTCGGCTGCTGGCAGCCCGGATCCCCAGCCTGGCTCCCGGTCCAGCCCCACTCAGAGGGGAGGCTGGCGAGGCCTCCCTACCTCAGCCTGCAGGCTCGCTTGGAAGTCGGGTGACTGGACGTGGGGATGGTGGTGGGACCCCTTGACTGCAGCGGCCTCGGCGCCCTTGTTCCTGCGGTCTTGAGGGTCTGGACCGCTGGAGAAAGGGAGGAGAAACGTTAGGATGGTCCCTTTCGCCAGACGTGCTCTTCTGGGATGGGCTCACACCCTAGGTGTTGTGTCCACCTTGGGGGAAGGACCTTTCAGAAAAAAGGAACAAATTCGGCCCTGAGGTGTGAACGACTGAGGTTTTTGCTTGTTTTTATTTTTGGTCGAAATGTACTCTGAGGAAAGTAGGACGGACACTTCTCTGCCACCTGCGTGAAAACTTGGCGTGTGGATGGGTTAAACAGTTAACTGTACTTTGCTTTGCAGAGCCCTTTTTACTGTAAAGGAGAAGAGATCCGTTAAAAGTGTCATAATGTTTTTAGGCACAAAGGACTCAGTAAAAATGGTACCTCCCCTCTTCATACACAGAAAGATCTCCATTCAGCAAATGTTTTATGAGTACTTGCTTTTTGCCAACATTGTTCTAAGTGCAGGGAACAGAGCCAACAGCTAAGAAAAGAAGATCTTTGCTTGCAGGGAGCTTATGTTCTGGTTGTCAAATAAATGTAATTTCCTCTTATGTTTTTTTTTTTACTGGAATGTAACATATGTACCATAAAATACTCTACACCAATCGTAAGTTGTAACTTGCTGATTATGGTAAAGAAAATGCATCTTTTAGCCACCACTCGAATCAAGAAGCAGAACGTTCACAGCTTCTTCTGAGAAGACCTCCCTGGAAGACCTCTCCCAATCACCATCCTCTCTTTTCTCCGTAAAGGTAACCTCTTTAATGATTTCTAATACCATAGATTAGTTTTGTTATGAGCCTTTCATAAATGGAACCATGTTATATGTACTCTTTAGTATGGAGCTTTTTTTTTTTTAAGATTTTATTTTTTTTATAAAATTTTTTTTTTAACGTTTATTTATTTTTGAGACAGAGAGAGACAGAGCATGAAGAGGGGAGGGGCAGAGAGAGAAGGAGACAGAATTGGAAGCAGGCTCCAGGCTCTGAGCCATCAGCCCAGAGCCCGACACGGGGCTTGAACTCACGGGACCGCGAGATTGTGACCTGAGCTGAAGTCGGACGCTTAACCGACTGCGCCACCCAGGCGCCCCTTAAGATTTTATTTTTAAGTAATCTATACACCAAGTGTGGGCTTGAACTCACAATTCCGAGATCAAGAGTCACAAACTCCACCAGCTGAGCCAGCCTGGTGTCCCTAATATCTAGCTTTTTTTACCCATTATGTTTGTGAGATTATTCTGTGTTGTGTTAAGAATACAATTTCTGATAGTGAAAAGAATTAGGAAGAAAATTAAAGAAGGTAATTGTACAAACAGTAAGAGGTGGAAACTTTAGTAAGGTGGTCAAGGATGAGCTTTCCCAGGGGATGACTTGAGACACAATATGAATGACAAAAGGTTAGCCAGTGAGCTGGGTAAAAGCATTCCACGCAGAGGAGAGGAACAGAGGGTAATAAATGAAACTGACAGGTTTTAGGAAGAGAGGGAAGATCTTGTAGGAAAGTGGGAGGAGATGAAATCTGAGAGGCAGGCAGGGGTCAGATGATAGAGGGTCTTATGTCTGGAGTATTTGCATTTTGTTCTAAGTGTAAAAAGATGTGCGGAAAAGATGTTTTTGATGCCCTTTAGTTTTAGCATGAGCCATTTGTGAAGGATCGGAAGTCCTTTCCATTTTATTCATCAAAGAAACCCCACAAAACTGGGTAACTGTTGGGAATTAGGGGAAACATTAACATGTTGGGAGACCAGATCTTTTGTATTGTCAGGATTTATATTAATTCAGACACATAATATGTTTCCAAAATCGATTTAGTATACACTTTAGAAATTAGTCGTCTATTCTACACTCTAAAAATATTCTTCAAGTAGTTGTTCAGCTTCTGTTAGAACCTGTTAAAGAGGAACTCCCTTTTTAAGAAGCAAATCATTTCATTTTTGAACAGCTTTAATCTTTAGAAAAGCTTTCCTAACACACACACACACACACACACACACACACACACACACACACACTTTATTTATTTATTTATTTTTACTTAAACTACTTATGGGCTGCCTGGCTGCCTGGCTCAGTTGGAAGAGCACGTGACTCTTGATTTCAGGGTTGTGAATTCGAGCCTCACATCGGGTGTAGAGATTACTAAAAACAGTAAGTAAATCTAAACTAGTTAAATTTTTTACTTTTATTTTTTATTTTTATTTGTTTTTGAATTTTTTACTTTGAAATCAAAATACCTGTAACACTGATTCTGGGTCCCTACAAAACTGACAGTTATCACCTGTTACTTGTCTCCCTTTTAGTACTCAAGCAGTTGATTTTTGTACGTTTGTTTTTTCACATTTAAGTTCAGGGCTTTGAATTTATTTGAATTTATTCCTGTCATGATCTTTGGAGTTAGAGTTAGTCCATCATAGATGTTCACATTTTCTTGGATGTGATTCTTTCATCCATCAGTTATCCCTTCCACCACTCTGCTCTTGGCAGACTTGATGAGCATCATATTAGTTAAGCATTATATTCTTTTTAAGTTCATTAAGATTATTTAGTGTTATTGGCAGTCTTATTTTTTGTTACTTAAGGTTCCTGGGGAAGTTCTTACATAGGATTTTCTGGAATTGTGGATAATTGACTTAACTTCATCAAAATAGTGATTTAAATTTCGTAGATGCAGTATTAGTTAAGCTATATATTTTTTTTATTTTTTATTTTTTAAAAATGTTTATTTTTTTGAGAGAGAGAGAGACAGAGGGTGAGCGGGAGAGGAGCAGAGAGAGAGGAAGACTCAGAATCCTAAGCAGGCTCCAGACTCTGAGCCTGCAGCACAGAGCCTGATGCTGGGCTTGAACTCACAAACTGAGATCATGACGTGAGCCGAAGTCAGACGCTTAACTGACTGAGCCACCCAGGCGCCCCAATTTTTAAGTTTACTTATTTATTTTTGAGAGAGAGTGATCCAGAGAGATAGAATATGAGTGAGGGGGTGAGCGCAGTGCAAAGAGAGGGAGAGAGAGAATTCCACGCAGGCTCGTGCTGTCTGCATGGAGCCTGATATGGGATTCGGAACTCACAAACCATGAGATCATGACCTGAGCCAAAATCAAGAGTGGGATGCTTACCCAACTGAGCCACCCAGGCACCCCAGTTAAGCTGTAGTTTTAAATTGAGGAATTAACATTTGTAAAATCAATTTTAAACATGATATCTTGGTAAAGTAAATTGTTGTATTGCAGTTCTGGAATATATAGTGCAGCATATTGATAAAAAGGGCTTTTTGTGTTGGTCTAAAAAAGAATTTGGGGGCATCTGGGTGGCTCAGTCAATTAAGCATCCGTTTCTTGGTTTTGGCTTGGGTCGTGATCTCATGGTTCATGGGTTCAAGCCCCACGGTGCTCTCTCAGCTGACAGTGCCGTGCCTGCTTAGGATTCTCTCTTTCCCTCTCTGCCTCTCTCCTACCTCTCAAAATAAATAAATAAACTTAAAAATTTTTTGAATAGTTTATAATGGCCTGTAACTTGTGTGAAATCCAGAGTCAACATTGGAAAGTGATTGAATTTTAATTTTTCTGCTTGCTTTGTTTCTGTGATAGAAGTTCTAGTGAACAGTAAAACAATTAAAAATGAATACAGTAGGAGGGAGGAAAGAGAAAGGAAATTTATATAATCCAAATTTGAATAATATATTTCCATAGCCTTATTTACCGCTTTGAGTCATTCCTCCTGATTGAGCTAGACTTCATTAGTTCTAGAGTTGACTTTGCTATATTTAAATAAGAGAATAACTTTTGTCACTATATTGCATATCTGAAACTGATATAACACTGTATATTAACTCCACTGGAATTAAAATAAAAAACTTAATAAAAAAGTAAATAAAACTAATGTTTTATTACATTCTTAATTTTTTTCCCCCCAGTGGGTGGAATGTGCCAATTTTCCCCTAGTTTTTTCAGTTGACTTACTGTATTTTTCTGGTTATATTTAAAGTATATCCTGTGGTTAAAATGGCCCATGATTTTTCAAAGCTTTTTTTACTTTTAAACCATCCAACCCAAGGAGAAAACTGAAGGGAAAAAAAAAAAAAAACCCCATGGAAATGGTTAATTGCATTTTACTGCTTTTGTATTTTCTTTTAAGAGTTGGGGTTATTATTTATTCTTGTAAAGGTTCATTCTTTAAGGTAGAAAAATGGTGTGGTTAGTGAATGTATAGTTTGGAAGAAAAGAAGTAAAAATCAAACTACATGAATTACTTTAGTGGAACATTTTCTCAAACTAAGTAGAAAGATAAAATTTCTCTCTCTCTCTGTACCAAAAATAAAACATCCCTAAATTTACTTTTGTAGTCTTATTTTTACCTGTAGATAAACATGCTTTGGATGGAATTGACTCTTCCACTCTCTTGTTTTTCTTCACTCAGAAATATTCCCTCATAAGAACAGATCCTTACCATATCTTTAGATTTATTAAGTCCCATTTAACAGGGAGAGCTACCTTTTGAGGTGTATTTCCCAACTAGAAGACTAGGAAATAAGGAACTTTAAAACTACCCACTTTCCTCCTTGCCCCCACCTCCAATTCTGTGTGTTTCTACTTGGTTTAATGGATTTTTTGTTAGACTATGCTCAGCTAAATCTTGGTCTCTCTCTCTCTCTTTTTTTCTTCTAGGCTACTTCATAGACATAAAGATCAATATTTAACTGGAAAGGAAGCATCACTTAAAATTCTCTCAAACTCCTAATTCCAGGGAATTGATAACATTTCTCTGATGAAGAAAAGAAGTGCTACTGACTGCATGTTAAAAGTATTCTGGCACTGGTCCTGTTTTTTCCCCTCCCTAGATTTGAAGAAAAATTATGGAGAAATGGCACTTGATGACAATTGTGGTCTTAATAGGACTAACAGTACGGTGGACAGTTTCTCTTAATTCTTATTCAGGTAACACATTTTTACTGTTTAAAAGATGGGTAAATATTCCTTGACTAGTTTCTTCTTCATCTTCATCTTTGTTTGGTAATAGTTTGTAGTTACCTGATTGGGACAGAGAAGAATTTGAGGCTTTATTGGTATGGTCAAGAAAATACATTTAAACATTAAATTCTAATATAAAGAATATGTATAAGAGCTTAATAGAAGCATAGGCTTTGTGACATGAGAAAACAAAAATGTATTCTAATGAGGAAGACGACAAGTTGAGAAATGATTACATATTAGGCATCGAAGAGAGAACTGAGCTAAGTACCTCAGGGTGGGAGTGGAATCAAAGGAGGCTTTTTTTGTTTAGGGTAGAGAAGCCATGTTGCTAGACTGAAGGGAAGAGATCAGTGGAGAATAAGATTGGGAATGATGTGAGAGAAAGAGAGGGAGGAGAATTGTTGGTGTGTGGTCCTGGATAGGGAATAAGATTTGACTTAACCCTGTGAGTATTTATTTAGCACTGCTCATGTTCCAGGCACTGTGCTAGATGCTAGAAATACAAGGTGAATATCCAGTACTGAAGGGGGTCCGTATTTTAGTAGGTAAGCAGTCATGGTACCGTGTGTTAATTATGACTAGAAGTATTTGTGAGGTACAAAGGTAACAGAAGTGCATGATGACGGTGCATTAGTGAAGACTTTTCAGAGAAGACGTTTGAGTTGAAGGTTTGAAAGATGACTTGGAATTTGCTAGGCAAATGACATGGGGAACATGTACAAAAACATGGTAGAATGAGAGCATGGTTTTAAGTAGTCAGTATTGGAGTAGCATCAGAAGAAGGAACAAAAAGGATGGGGAGGGAGTGGCTCGAGATTAAGCTATGCAATTAGGTTGGCAAATTACTTGTATTTTAGAGAAATAGCTTTCATTGTAATGAAAAAGGATTGTAGGAAGCAGGTTGGAGGTAAAGAGACAAATGACACAATCATAATAATAGAAGTATGAGCTACTATTTTTTAAGTATTTACCATATGCTAGACACTGAGTATTTTGTTGTGCTTACCACAACCACTGAAGGTAAGTAGTAGTACCTGTAATTTACAAATGGAAGATGTGACAACTGATAAATAACAATGGGGATTCAAATATAGTTGTATTTTATTCCAAAATCAATATATGACACTGCTCTGTGGCTTCTGAGAAAGAAGTCCTGAAGTAAGCCAGTTAAAAAGATGCATAAATGAATTTGAGGAATATTGAAGTAAAATCACTTGGATGCAGCAGTAGACTTGGGTTCAAATCTTAGATCTTCCACCCTCACCTGTTAGTGCCTGATCTTGGGGAAGTTACTTAATCTCCATGAACCTCTTACAAAGGTACCTCTACTATAAAGTGGGAATATTAATATGTATTTTAACAAGATTGTGGGGATTACTTGAGATACTATGCATGAAATGTATTTTCTTTTTTAATAGTGTAGGAATATAATCAGCATATTGATGGTTCACAACTATTATCTTGTTTGATCCTTACATTAGATCATTTAACCCCAGAATGTTTATTGTCTGCTGTGCAGCAAAAATATGTCTTACTGGTGATCAAGTCTTTAGGTCTGACTTTTAGGGTGACAAGAATAATAAATAGTATCTTCCTATGATACTGTGATTTATAAAAAAAAAAATATATGTTTGGCCTTTGTCCTTCTGGCACAGAGCCCCTAAAAATCCCTTGGAATTTTCTAAGTGAAAGTGAAAAATTGTCTTTTGTTATGGTAATGTTGACTTTTGGAGCCACCTAAGGATGGATGGAGGCTGGTTTCCAGGAAAACCAAATCTTATGATTAGAGGGTTGGAACTTTCAGTCCCACCCTCTGATTTCCAGGGAGGGGAGAGGGGCTTGAATCAGTCACCAATAATAAAGCTTTCATAACCCAAAAGGAGGATGGCGTTTGGATAACTTCCAGGTTGATGAGCACATGGAGATTCAGGGGGAACGGAAGCTCAGCACCTTTGCCCACACCTTGCTCTATGCATCTCTTCCATCTGCTGTTTTGAGTTATATCCGTTTATAATAAACTGGTAATCTAGTAACTAAATGTTTCTCTGAGTTCTGAGATGCTCTAGCAAATTAATTGGACCAAAGGAGGAGGTTGTGGGAGCATCTGATATATATAGCCAGTCTGTCAGAAGCTCAAGTAATAGCCTAGACTTGTGATTGGCATCCAGAGTTGGAGGGGCTCGTTGGAACCTCCAGTCTATAGCTAGTGTGTCAGAATCTGGGCTGGTGACTGGCATCAGACGTGGAGGGAGGGGGCAGGCTTACAGTACTGAACCCATAACCTGTGGAATCTGATGCTGTCTCTGTAGATAGTGTCAGAATTGAGTTGAATTGTAGGACATGGAGTTGGTGTCTGAGAATTGCTTGTTGGATGTGTGGGGGAACCCCCCGTAACCCACATTGTAATTGGGTCCCTGAATCACCCTATCACTTCCCTAGAGAAGTTCACAGTCAAGTGGGCAGGGTGGACTTGAAAATACGTTCTACGTTAAAATAAACGAGGTAGACTGGGAACACAGGAGACTTGTAATTCAGACAAGAAAGGCTTAGAGTATAACGTTAAGGATAACAAACATTGTTTGTTCTGAAAGCGAGGGAAGGATTTACTAGGCAGAAAAGGAATCCTTTTTTCTTGGTTAGAACCAAAATAGGCAGGTCCTATTTCGTTCAGTTTCTCTGTAAGCTTAACACTCAACCTGAGATTTTGCAAATAAAGTGTAAGAGATGAACCAGAAAACATTTGTGCCAGTTCCTAGAGCAAATTTTATCTTGGTCATGCTTTCTAAGCTTTTTTAGTATTGAGGCAGTTCCCTAGTGGGAGGGTCCCTATTACCCTATATACTACACAAGTTTTGAATTTTTGTCAGTCCAGGGTGTGTGAAATGATATTTTGTTGTGGTTTTAATTTGAATTTCCTTCATTACTAAAAGATTGAGCATATTTTCATGTTTACTGGCCATTTATATTTCCTTTTCTGGGATAGTTGCTGTGCCATTTGTACATTTCTATTAGATTCTTTTTTCTAACATAATCTGTATTTTTTTTGTTTTGTTTTTTCTCATGAATTCTATATTCTGGAAGCTAACTTTTGTATAACTTGTAAATATCTTTTCCAAATTTATGGATTATCTTTTCACATCTTAAGGTGTCTTGATGAACAGGATAAAATAATGGAATTAATCTTTTTCCTTTATGATTTGTGCTTTTTGTATCTTTAATAAACCCTTCCCTACTCCAGTGACAAAGGTATTTTCCTAAAATTTTCTTCTAAAAGTTTTAAGATTTGTCTTTTCTATTTAAGTCCTTATCTCCTGAAAATTGAATTTTGTGTATAACATGTCATCTAGGGATTTATTTTTAATTTTTTTTCACATGGATAATTAGTTGTTTTAACCCATTTATTGAGAAGTGTATTCTTCCCCACTAATCTGCATTACCAGCTCTATCTCAGGTTTTTATATATGCATGGGTCTGTTTCTGACTCTTGATTCTGATAAATTGGTCCAGTACCGCAGTGTCTTATTACTATAATTTTACAGTACATCTTGATATATTATGAGTCAAATTCTCCCACCTGATAGTTCCACTTCAGGATGGTCTTAGCTATTGTGGGCTTTGCTCTTTCATTTTGCAGAAGGCAGAATTTCGAAAACGGCCTCCCAAAGATGTCCTGCCCCATTCCCCAGAACTATGAAAATGAGATCCCACTTTTTTTGCTCAGTATATCTTTTTCTTTCCTTTTTTTTTTCAGTGTATCTTTTTCTACCCTTTTACCCTTCACCTCTAAATCCCTGTGATTTAGACTTGACTAACCAGTTCCCCTCCTTAATTCCACTTTCTCTTGCTAGTTTGCAAGTTGTACTTTTATTTTGTTCTTTCAAGGTGTGGTGTGGAGATTTTCACATATATATTTAACTTAAGAAAGTCTAAAATTAAATTTTTTTTAATGTTTATTTATTTTGAGAGAGAGCTAGAGAATGAGCAGGGGAGGGACAGAGAGAGGGGGACAGACTCTCAAGCAGGCTCCACACCATCAGCATGAAGCTTGATTGGGGGCTTGAACCCATGGACCATGAGATCATAACCTAAGCTGAAATCAAGAGTTGGGCTCTTAACTGACTGAGCCATCCAGGTACCCCAACAAAGTTTAAAATTAATATATTTATGTCTTCTTTCTGAGCAAGGTAAGGACCACAAAATGCTTTTTTGTAATGCTTTTATTTATTTTTGAGAGAGAGAGAGAGAGAGAGATCCTGTGTGGGCACCTGCGAGTGTGGGGGATGGACAGAGAGAGGGAGAAACAGAATCTGAAGCAGGCTCCAAGGCTCCAAGCTGTAAGCACTGAGCCCGACGCAGGCTCAAACTCATGAACCATGAGATCATGTCCTGAACCAAAGTTGGACATTTAACCAACTGAGCCACTGAGGCACCCCAAGGACCGTAAAATGCTTCAACTCTAGTTACAAGTCCACCCCCACCATTAAAATGTTATTATTGCCTAGAATTTTAGACATTAATTACTGTTAGCTTCTGTAACAATTCATATTTATTTATGTTTACCCTCTGTGTTTATCATTTTCTGTGCTCACGCTTTTTACAATTGCATCTTCTTTTGAGATAATTTTCTTTCTTTTTGAAATACATCTTTGGGAGATTTTAAAAATTAAATTTTTTTTTAATGTTTATTTTTTGAGAGGAAGAGAGAGAGAGAGAGAGAGCAAGTGCATGCATGAGCTGGGGAGGGGCAGAGAGAGAAAGAGACAGAGGATTCGGAACAGGCTCTGCGCTGACAGCAGAGAGCTTGATGCGGGGCCCAAACCCACAAACTATGAGATCATGACCTGAGCTGAACTCAGATGCTTAACCAATTAAGCCACTCAGGTGCCCCAGAGATTTTAGTTTTTAAGCAATCTCTACACTCAGTGTGGGGCTTGAACTCACAACCCTGAAGTTGAGAGTCAGTG